GCGAGAGACTGATTGTCAACAATCGAAGCTTCGGTTATCTTTCTAACCGCATAGTGTTCTATCTTCTGAATCTCCACATCAAATCGAGACGCACGTACTTTGCCCGGGTAGGTAATCTACTGTCTATATCACTAAAATGCAAAAACTAATGTTTCATATAGGCTGGTGTTTCGCTAGACGCAGATTCATACAAAGCCGATGCCTCGTTATCAGAACAGGGAGAAGATTACGCCAAGAAAATGACGGCACGTCTACTAGCTCATCGAGAAGAAGAAAAGCAAGCAATGATTGAGCGAGGAGAGACTGGCTATGAGTCGAGACCTTTGAAAGTTTGGACCTCCACACGGCGCAGGACGGTTGAAACCGCGAAATACCTCCATGAAAACGGATATAAAATCCGGCAGAGATCTCAATTGAGCCAACTGAACCCTGGCGTCTGCGAGAAGATGTCTGAGAACCGTATCCGAGCAGAGTTTGGGGACGAGGTTGCTAAGCACGAGCTTGATCCCTACCACCACCGTTATCCCCGGGCAGAGGTAAGCCTTGCACAAACCTTTCAAAAGTGCGTAGCCGCTGACCTTTTCCACTAGTCATACCATGACTTGGCTGTTCGTCTCGAGCCAATTATCCTTGAATTGGAGAGGGAGCAAACCGATCTACTCATCATCGCACACGAAAGTGTTTTGAGGGTTTTGTATGGCTATCTCATGGCCTGCAATGCTGCGGACATTCCGTTCCTTGAGTTCCCTCGTGATGAAATCATTGAGGTAAATTGGACTTTAGGTTGAATATTATTTATGGTTAATTAACACTATTCTAGATCGTCCCCGAGAGCTATCAGAACGAGGCACAGCGGATCCATATCCCTGACCTCCCCGAAGAGATTATCCCGGCCTCTCCAGAGGACTTGAAGATCCCAGTGCCCCCAAGCGGGTTAGTATCACCGGCGCAAGGGCTTGGTACCCCAGAAGGTCAAGTAACCCCACAGAGTGGCCATCGAACACCCAGTGGAATCCGAACACCACGTGAGCGCGAACGGATCTCACAACAGCATGTTGAAGATGTGGTCTAGGTATAAGTCCACACTAATTCGCTTCGCCTGGCAATACCACCCATATGTTGCTCTTGAATTCCTCCAGGAACACTTCGAATTCGGTTTCTTTTTTGTCTTAGTCGTCGTTGCTAGCATCAATACAATCCATCATGTTTAACCGCCATGTAAAGTCGAGACAAAAACAATGTTGTCTCCTTGTTGAAGTTCGTATGTCTCTTCGCCTTCGAGTTCCCAATCGGCATCGTTGATGAGGACGAGAATACCTGGTCGTCTGTCGAAAGCATTAATACTGTTTGAATAAAACGTCAAAGTTATGTTGACATACACATTGTCTTCCATGATGAACATGTCTATCCTCTGATCTTTCATGAGGTTGTCGACGAGGTATTTAAGCAGGTATGAGATGTTTGGCCTGCTGCCGTCCTCCAATCGAGCGGGCAAAACGACTTTGTGCTTGCGCTCATTCCCGAATAGCAATTCTAAGCCGCCGCTATCGAGATCAATTCTTAGCAAAGGTTGATCGATTGAAGGAAAGATTTAACGTACGTAAACTCGACCGTGATGGGGATGGGGAATTCCCCTTGGCCCGCATTTGAAGTATCAGCCATGATATTGCAGATGAGGGGAAATACAGAGCATATAGCAATTATCTCTCTTATTGAAAACGAAAGAGATCGCAAGTTGAGTCTGTTGAAGATGGAGGGGCTAGGCGGAGACCGAACCTCTTATCGATAAGCCCCAATCCTCCCGCAATTTCTTTGCGGCTTTTCTCCAATTCCTAGTACAGCAGCACAGGCAGACAAAAGGGTTCCCAAGCCCTCAGAATACTCCATGGTCGCCGTCGAAACAGACTATATTAGCGTAGGGGAAACCGGCACCCTGGTGCTGCGGATTGGGATGTGCAGACAGGCGTGCTCGCCTTCGGTGCGGACAACAATGTCGCCCTATGGGATCCTCTAGTAGGTCCATTGAGAACAGCTGCGCATTGATAACAAGGAAGAGCTGACACCTAGTCAAGGACAAGACCGAGCGTGGTATCTATGCCCTGCTTGTTGGACATACCGACAAAGTCAGTGTCGTTCGATTTTATACATGCCCCGCCTCAGGAACGAGATTTATCGTCACCGGCTCCGTCGACCGCACAATACGGGTATGGCAACAAGACAATGCTGATACCCACAAATATGTCCTTGCATCTACCCTTGAGGGTCACACAGGCTCAGTGAATGCGATCGCCGTCGCCGATGGAACGGACATCATCGCATCTGGAGCGGCTGATGGGACGGTTCGGATCTGGAGAATAAATGCAAAGGACGAATTTAAGTGCGAGCTGCTTGAAACGATCACAATGACACCACGGTTCTTCCCGCTATCCTTGTCATTGCAGGGGCTTCAAGGCGACTCAGATATGCCGTTGGTGTTGGCCGTTGCAGGTACAACGACCAAGGTTCAGATCTACGTCTCGGAAACCTCCATCGGCAAACCAGAGTTCAAGCGCCGGGCTGTGCTTGCGGGACACGAAGCCTGGGTCAAGGCTCTTTCGTTCACCCAGGACAAGCAGAGCAACGGCGATATCCTGTTAGCGTCTGCAAGTCAAGACAGATACATCCGTCTTTGGCGACTGCGTCGGGGTGAAGCAAGTGCCCCTGCTCCGATAGATGATACGGATCCTCTGCTTGGAGGAATGGAACCTACGCTATCAAACAAAGCCCATGAGTTCGAAGCTGCAGGATCGAAATTCTCCATTACTTTCGAAGCTCTTCTCTTTGGACATGAAGACTGGATCTATACTATTGCATGGAACCCTGATTCGAAGCGGCAGCAACTTCTCTCGGCATCGGCTGATAATACCATCACAATTTGGGAACAAGACCAAGCATCAGGCGTTTGGATGTCCGCAGAGAGAATGGGAGAGATCAGTGTCCAAAAAGGATCTACCACGGCGACTGGTAGTGCAGGTGGCTTTTGGATTGGGCTCTGGTCACCAGACGGGAAGCAGGTGGTGAGTCTTGGCCGCACAGGTAGTTGGAGAGTCTGGCGACATGATTCCGACTCGGATCTTTGGATACAGCGATTCGGTATCTCGGGCCATGTGCGCTCCGCGAATGGTGTACAATGGGAACCCACTGGAGGCTACCTGCTTTCAACCAGTTCAGACCAAACTACCCGCCTTCATGCAAAGTGGGTGCGTGAAAATACAGGTTCTTGGCACGAGTTTTCACGCCCTCAGATTCATGGATACGATTTGAACTGCGTTGATACTCTGGGCCCCTCACAGTTTGTGACTGGTGCAGAGGAGAAACTCCTACGTGTGTTTAATGAGCCGAGACCAATCGCTCAGTTGCTCGAGAGACTTACTGGGTTCAAACAATCGAATGGTGAGGACCTCCCAGACACTGCTGAAATCCCAGTGCTGGGTCTCTCGAATAAGGCACTTGGAGATGAGGCTCCAGTGGAAGAGGACCAGCAAAAAGTCCCAACTGAGGCGCTAATCGCTTCTGCCTCGCTGGTTGCCAACCACCCGCCACTGGAGGATCAGTTGTCTCGTTACACATTGTGGCCGGAGCATGAGAAGCTCTATGGCCATGGTTATGAGATTTCAGCAGTGGCAGTGAGCCATGACCGCAGGCTCATTGCTACAGCCTGCAAAGCCAGTTCGATTGACCACGCGGTAATTCGCCTCTACGATACGTCGGACTGGCATGAGATTAAACCTTCTCTCACTGCGCACTCGTTGACCATCACGGACCTTTCATTCTCTAGTGATGATCACTATCTTCTTAGTGTTGGACGAGATCGCCAATGGGCAGTCTTCCAGCGGAGCGATGCAGAGCCCACTACGTTTACAAATCTCAGCGTAAACCCGAAGGGTCACTCTCGAATGATCCTAGGTGCAGCCTGGGCCCCGGCTACAACGGACCATGTCTTTGCCACGGCAGGACGTGACAAATCCGTGAAGATCTGGCAAAAGTCCGAAGACACTTTCGTCTGCAAAACGATCGTGGGCCTGACATCGGCGGTCTCAGCAATTGCTTTCTTGCCCGTAACATACAAAGGCACATATGTTATTGCTGTTGGCGAGGATAACGGTGTCATCTCTATCCACCGAATTGCTGCAGACACTCTCGAAGCACAGCACGTCGTGACCATTGATAAAGTGGCCTCCCCCTCAAAGACAATTACTCAATTATCATGGCGACCAGTGCCGGCGGCAGAGGTGGATAGTAGGGATCAGTTCGAATTGGCAGTGGCAAGCGAGGATACGTCCACACGGATATATGTTATCTCGAACATGCTCTCATGATTTTGTATAAGAAAGCAAAATGGTTTTTACTTAGGTAGCCCCCCTTTATGAGTCATGATGGTTGCGATGCCTTTTTAATGCCTTTTTTAATGCCTGTGTAGATATGTACCTAGGTATGTTTGAAAACCCCCTTAAATCTTTTTTTAAAGACTGCTAGGTGGGATGTTGGAAAGAGCCCTGGAGGTCCTACCACTTTAGAAAGGTTCCACCTAATGTAGTCCTGCTCATAAGAATATCCTCTCTCCTTCTCTTCTGTTTATTCTTTCTCTCCTTCCTCTCTCACACACCACCCAAGGCCTGAACAACCCAGGACACTCACAAGGCTGGTTTCTATACGTTTTTGTCCTTTATCATTCTGGGAAGGGGCCACAATGCCCGATAAAGGTCAAAAAAGAGCAGCGGTAAGTGATGTCGAGTTATAAGGTTCTTGTCTCGTTGAATCGTGTTTGAAGTGTCTCGTGTGAACCCATCAACACCTACCCTTATTCCCTACGCTCTCACGTTATCATCCATCCCAGGGATATAAAGGAGACATCATCGTCATAGACTGACCAATGAAAATAGGAATAGTGCACATCCCGTGAGATGGGGCACGCCCAGGAAGAGTGCCTGTTTTGGGCTGCCTGTGTTAGAGACATAGGCATGGCTAACAATGCCGCTATGATGGCGGCATACAAGCGCCCCGACGCTTCATCCTCCCCTCGCCCTCCTCTTCCTCCTACCACCTCTGTGGAGGCCACTGCCCCCCCTCCACTCTGTCTGATATGTGAACCTTTTCGATCCATAGGGCTTGCTCTCAACAGCGTTGAAAAGATATATGCTAACTTGTGAGTAATTATAGCGAACTCCATTGCTGCCCCTCGGGATAATCCTGGTGTGGACTCTGAGCTGCTTTCAAGATTCGGGTAGGTTTCTCGGCTAAGCAATGCATATGCTTCAGTTCTTGGGTCATATCAGGAACGAAAATAATGCCTACGAGGACCTTGCAGAGAAGCTCGCAAGTGAGGACGAACCAGACCAGAGCGAAACCACCCAAGGCCCGCACAAAGAACGAGGGAACAGTAGGAGCTAGGATTGGGATGAAATAATGAGGGATAGATCGTTGATGTAGGCCTGCGTAGACACCTGTTTTATTGATCCTAGGGTGTTTGAATCAACTTGTGTGATGTCCCTTCACATCCCACTTATACTTGTTTTGTAAGGATTGTGCATTAGTTTACGGCTAAACAAAAGCATTGTAGTAGAGTTGTCATTATAAGGTCTAATATTCTCTCCTGATATTCAGATTATCCAAGTCCTTAGTGGTATACACTACGGTACCCATCGTTTATATCGTCACATCCCCAGTTGCATCCATGTTTGTCTATTTTTATCTGCACTTACGCCGTGCCCAGCCTCGTCACAAAGTTAACTATTATATCAGTGCTGGCTACAGAGGAGAATATTAGGGATCAGTTCGAATTGGAACAGGCGAGGACACGCCCACGCGCATATATACTATCTCGGACGTGCTCTCATGAATTTGTACAAAAAAAAAAAAAAAAAAAAAAAAAAATAGTCTTAGCCCCCTTTATGAGTGAGTCATGGTTGAAAACTCCCAAAATGTTGAATAAATCCTCCCTGTAGATGCAGATGCCAATCCATAAACCCCGTCTATGCCTTGTGGTTGAACCCAATTGTTGTTGAATGGCACGTTAAATGACTCCTGACATCAGTGCTCGCATGCATAAGCAAAAATAGAGAAAACAAAGAAAAGCAAAGGCAAAAAAAAATCGTCAGATCTTTGTTTCAGATTATTTTCTCAGTCGTGTTTTTCCAGTCCGTAACCGCCAATACCCTCTAGGGATTGGTAGGTCTTGGCCTGATTACCACGACCATTCCGGGGACCTCTGGCCTGCATATCCTCCTTGAGCCACTTGAGAACTAGCTCTCCAAGGCGACTATTCTCCGAGGTCCACTCAGGGACTTGTTCATGGAACGACTCAACACTACCTAGCGCCTTGACCTTACCCAAGTGCATGTGGGCCAAATGGGTAGGCCACTGGGCGAGGTTATCCAAGATATGAGTAGCATACACAATGGTGCAGGCACGGGTTTCAGTCTCCCGCTTTAGGAAAGCCAGGAAATTGCTCCTGGACAAAAGGTCCAGATCGACAGTGATCTCGTCGAGCAGCAGGATCTTCCAGGGTCGCAACAAGCCCATGGCCAGCTGCACGCGGCGACGTTCTCCATCCGAGACGGCATGCATGCGCCAGCGCAGATCGATATCGAGGATATCGACCAGCTCGTCCCGGCGTTCCGGGTAGGCATTTCCGCCGACGGAGGCGAGCAGTGTCGGCACGTCAATGTCGGTGCGGACGATGCTGTTCAATACCCACTCGACTCCCAGGTAGGTCACGCCATCTAGACTGTCCTTGAAGGGGTCCTTGCCGCCAATGGCGATGGTGTTATTGGGTGCAAGACGCTTCCCTGATAGGAGGCGGAGGAGGGTGGTCTTCCCCGCTCCATTTGCTGTGTGTTTGAGTTAGTCTTCGAGATTAGTCTTGAACGGGGACAGGGTTTGACTCACCGCCGATCAATAGGGTGCGACTTCCAGCTGGTAGACTCATGTTTACATTCTCCAGGCCACTAGAGCCATCTTGGAACTTGTACGAGAGGTTTGTTACCTCAATATTTGGGGGAGTGGAATTGATATCCGCCATGACGAATGTGGGAGAAGGAAAGCACTGAGAGAACCACGAAATTGGACGGGGGTAAAAAGAAAAAAGAAGAAGGAGAAGAAGAAGACGAAATGAGTCAGGGAAGATCGTTAATTGGAATTTCTCTAGACTGATTTGATGCTAGCGTTTATGCCATAAGACGATCCGGAGGGTCGCGCCATGGATGAGGTAACCCGCGTGATAACCGATAACGACCTTTTTTCCCCCCACGTCGCAATCGGCATCGCGGTATGCTCTCAGCTCTCCGATCTATTTGGTACGGGCAAAGAAGAATGAATCCGCTCATAGCCGTTGTCGGTGCCACAGGCACAGGCAAGTCAAAGGTAATGACTCCAAGTCCCTGCCCGCACTTCCTCCGAACACAATGACTGATAGCTGTAGACAGCTTGCAGTGGACTTGGCCTCTCGATTCAATGGTGAAATCATCAATGGCGACGCTATGCAGATGTATCGCGGTTTACCGATCATAACGAATCAGATCCCGACAGAAGAACGGAACGGCATCCCTCACCACCTCCTCAGTTGCATCGACCTAGACGCGGAAGCATGGCGCATAGGGCTGTTCAAGCGAGAAGCCCTGCGAGTTATTGAAGAGATCCGCGCCCGTGGCAAGGTTCCCATCCTGGTTGGTGGCACACACTATTATACCCAAGCAGTGTTATTTAAAGAACAGCTCGTGGGCGAAGGGGTGGACGACGAAGGTGAGCGGGAACAGCTCACGGAGTTCAGCTCAACCTCGAAGAAATGGCCGATTCTGGATTCCCCACCTGAAATTCTCTTGGAGAAACTGCGCGAGGTAGATCCTGTCATGGCTGCGCGATGGCATCCGAAAGATGCACGGAAAATCCGGCGGTCATTGGAAATTTATTTCCAGACAGGGCGGAAAGCCTCGGAGATTTATAAAGAGCAGTTCTCTCAAAAAAGAAAAGCGATAGACCGGGAGGAAGGACTACTACGGTTCGAGAATACATTGGTATTTTGGGTACATGCTGAAAAGGAGGTCCTCAATGCGCGCCTGGATGCGCGTGTCGATGACATGGTCAAGCAGGGCTTGATGACTGAGGCGGAGAAGATGTCAGACTACTTGCAGGAGAAAGCCTCGCAGGGCATCGAAGTTGACCAAACACGGGGAGTCTGGGTGTCGATTGGGTTCAAGGAATTGGCGCCATACTTCAAGGCTATCCGGGATGGGGAAGCAAGTGAGAAAGAGCTCGAAGATCTTAAACGGAACTCTCTTGAATTAATTCGGATCGCTACACGACAGTATGGAACATCGCAGGTCAAATGGATCCGCAATAAACTCTGGCAAGCACTCACAGAAGCCGGAGAGACGCGTCGACTTTATCTCCTGGACAGTTCCAATGTCAGCGACTGGCACAAGTGCATCACTGAGCCGTCCGAGGAGATTGTGCAACTGATGCAGCAAAACAAGCCGACCCCGGAACCCAAATCGCTTTCTCAATTGGCCGCGACGGAGTTCGGTGCGAAGGAAGCCCAGGCCCAAAAGCGTGTACAGACAGACCCAATCGGGAAGTGCTATACTTGTGATGTCTGCCAGAAAACTATGGCGACGGAGGACCAGTGGCATATTCATCTGAATAGTCATCAGCATAAAAGGGGACTCAAGTCTGCGAGTAGGAGAGCACAGCGAGATGAATATTTCCGAAAGAAAGAATTGGAAGCGCAGGGGATCCAGCCCACTGAAACCGAACCTGGGTCATGAGGTATTTTGCATTGCATAGCCCAAAATAGACTAAGGATCATAGAAATACCCAAAATTCTTCTGTTATTTAATCACGGATGATCTTCCATGTAAAACGGAAGTACAGGTAATCCCTCGGACCACAATTGGGGGTCTGTAGAAGGTTGAAAGAAGATACTTTTCTATGTATAACATTTGATAAACCCATGCGATAAAAGTACATTAGCACTACCTAGCATATACTAGATCTTCCAATCACGAACTTGCAGAAGTGGTCGATCGCCAGGCTTTGAAAGCAGGCGAGAGAATATCGCCATGTCCTTGCTCCTCAACTTGATAGACCTCGATAACCGGAGACTTCTCCTTCTTCCGAATTCTCCACGTCCCTTCCTGGTTGATAGTCTGCTTAAGCCCTAGAAAGTGTGTCAGTGCTGCTATAAACTCATCGCAAAGAACACTCACACTTCAAGAATGCACCAGTGAAATTGATACAGACGTTTCCATCCCAAGAACGCCGGCCCACACTTAGCACTTTCCCGGGGATACTGGCTGTATCCAGCTCCTCCAAGCTATGGCAGATGCCATTTTCATCACGGAATCCCACGATGATCTTAGGCACACCCAGCAGGAATGACTGTGCCCAAAACTTGAGCAATTTCCGCTCGTACTTTATCATATCGCGTTCATTACGGATCTGAGCTGATGTCTTCAGCTCAACCCAGTTAATGGGACTTTCTTTTCGCGATGGCTTGCTGTCCCAGACTAGGGCAAAAAAAAAAAAGAGTTAGCACTGGATATAGCGACGAGCATCAAGGTAAAACATACTGGCATCAACCTCTCCACCGAGAATCATACGCACGTTACCGATTCCGGTGCGGACAACGGAACAATACTGTGCTGCGTTGTTGACGACTTCGTTCTCACGGCCTTCGATCTCTTCACGGGTTGATTCATCCCACGTCTTCGAAAGTACAGCCAACTTTTCGAATTTGTAGCCTAGGATTGTTCGTTAGTCTAGACATATATTTGCATGAGTTGTTTTACATACCCCAATACATCATGAGTTCTTGTGGTGCCATTCCGGGTGGCGATCCTCGCTTGCGTTGGATCTCTTTCTGTTGGTTCTTATACTCGTTGTTTTCTTCGATAAAACTTGAACGAGTCAGCACATTATATAGCGACCTTGGTAGCTAAATATACATACATGGTGCCCTATAATAGATATCAGATCATGGAAGTTAGATAGTCTTGCTGGGATTGACATCGTACCTGGAAACAAGTTGCATTCATCTCAAAGCTAGACATAGCCTGGGGTTAGAGAAACAGCACGATATGTTGGTGATAGATCAGGGGTACGAACCCATTCATATTATCAAAAGGAGCTGTTAGAATCTGTATATAGAAGTCAGGATGTGGTTTGAAATTCGATGATAGTCAGTGCCAGCCTCCATATTAACACACCTTGGTCATCATTCCTCTCCATGTGACGATGTCTACATCGCACTTCTTTTCTGTTTCTTTCTCATGAGCAACAAGGGTATCAAGCAAAGCATCCAAGTGCTCATCGGGAACATCATTGAGCTTCTGGAATGTCTCATAGCCCTTGTTCAGGTCTGCAGGGAGAGCCGGCGTGTAGTAGTAGGCCATGGA